TTATATCTATATATATATATATATATATATATCTATATATATATATATATATATATATATATATATATATATATATATATAGATATATAGATATATATAGATATAGATATATATATAGATAGATAGATTAGATAGATCTTGTGGTCATTAGTTAACACATAGCTGATTTGCCTTGAGCATTCAAACTTTTATTTTAAGTTAATTTAAAAATTTTTTTTTGGAAAGTCTATGACAGAGGTGCTCAATACATCGATCCCGATCTACCAGTCGATGGCCAAGGTCATGTGGGTAGATCGCTGTGTCTCGTCTCGGACTCGTGTTTGGACTCGGTCTTGTCTCTCACTCGAGGTCTGACACTCAACAAGTGTGATCATATTTCATTCCGGCCGCTGCTGTTGGTAATAAACTTGTAGCGGGTGCAGGAGCGTGTGGGGCGTCTCAGTGCAGCCTGTGCGCTCATTTGAAACCCGCGCAGACTCTACGGCACATCACAAACACAACACGCTCCCTATGCACGGCTCGTCTGCAACAGCGTGTGCCCTCGTGTACCAGCGTGCACCACAGGGCAGGTTCAACTTCCTAAACATCCTACCTGTCCATCTGCCTCACGTCAGCACGCCGCCCCTCGCCTTTTCACATAATGTGCAGAGGCTGGTAAATATCACAGCAAAACCAGAAAAGAATGCAACTCCAGTTTGGAACTTTAGAAAACAGGTTTAAAAATCTTCCTTCACTTTTTTCACAGTTTTGTGTAAAGTGCCAGAGGAAGTTCTCTTAAAGAAGAGGTTCTCAAACTGTGGGTGAGGGTCCAAAAAAGGGGCACAGAGTGTTTCAGTGCAGTTTGCTTGGCTCTGTATTAGGTCGATCTTTATGACTTGGTCATTTTGTAAGTAGCTCACATGATGAAAAAGTGTGAACACCTCTGGTCTATGGGGAAAATTTATGAGATATTTACTTCTGGACCTGGAGCTGGTCCCTGTTGAACTCCATACAGACAAATAACAGATGAGTCCTGGGCTGGTTCATTCAGAACTTTTCAGTACGATACACATCTCGATACATTGCACTTTTGATTCAATATGACAGATTTCAAATCAATTTGATATGGTTCAATAAAAAATGATGGCTAAATCATGGCTGTGATACTAAAAGATTTCTTTTGCAAAGTTCAGGGGAGTGAAAGAAGCCATTTTTGTTAAGAAAAAGAATCCTTCTTTAAAGGATGGAGGACTCAGACACCATCTATCTCCTATTTACAACTCCATCCTCAAACCTAAATCAAAACAAACAAGAGAACAACAGGTGTAGTCAGGTCAGGTCCAGAGGTGTGGAAGCTCCATTATGGCCATGAACAGTTCTGTTAATTAGACCCCACACCCTGTACAGGTCAACAGGCCCAACGAACTAACACAAACTGTAAACAAGTGTGTGTGTTAGTTTCAGAGTAGTTTCAGTGTAGTTAGCTCCTCCCTGCAGACAGATATAAGGAAGTGTCACCAGTGTCTGACCAGAACTGAAGAAGCAGCTTGGATGAGCTGAGAAACATCTTCAACCAAACTCACTTTTGTCCAGTCGACAAACTGAATTTTCTCCTCTCCAAAGTTCATTTAAATCATCAGAACAGTGAAAATGTCAAATGTGTTGCATAAACGAGTTTCCTTCCTGTGAACAAACAAAAAAACTGTAACTGCAACAAAATAATTTAGCAAAATATACCAAAAAATACTTGGTGATATACAGTATCATCACATTAAACAATATGATATATCGATATTTTGATACATGATACTGGGGTTTTTATTTCACTATTTTGTCCATAAATCAATTCCTATTTCTAATATAGAACCTGGCTCCAAATTCACTCCTTTAACTACAAGCCTCGGTGTTAAATTGCAATATGATTTCCAAAAAGCATTTGCTCACTGATCCGAAAGTTGGCGGTTTGAATCTTGCTCTCAACATCAAACGATCATTGGTTGAGCGATCAGATCCACTGACACGCTGATGTATGAATGCGTGAGTGTTTCCTTGTTGTAAAAATTTGAGCCTTGAAGGTGGAAAAGTTCTGTATAAAAATGTGACCAAAACAGTCAAACTTAAACTAATCTCTCGTTTTTTTCCGCAGCTGCAGCGATGGCGTCCATGGCCCTGGAGCTGATGGGGTTCTTCTTGGGTTTGTTGGGGACCGTGGGGACGATGGTGGCCACAGTCCTTCCG